CTCCTAATTAGTAAGGTAGCCCTCCTTATTTATTGGCCTTCCATGCAAGAATAGTTATTGCTAAAATATTTATCAGTGAAAGTTTCCTTAGCTAAAATTTGAGTATTGGTGGGATTGCTTTATTCTTTGCTTTTCTTTTTTTTCTTCAGTATACACTATAAACCAAGTTCCTAAAATAGAGGGATTGGTTTCTTGAATCATGTAACTAGTTTCCTACTTTAAGGACCCTAGAAAAATGTGACTTGATTGGGCTAATTAGTTCCCAATTTTTAAGACCCTAGACGAATGTAATTTGATGGGCTAATCTTTCATTGTATGACATTCAAGTCGAATTGTTGATTCTTGACGTTAAGTTCAATATAAAGTTTAGTAGAGCAGATTGATGGCATAATTATATACTAACCTTCACAAATGGCGCCCACTTTTCAACATATAAACAATGACCATATCCTCCAAGAGCTGCAAGTTGGAATCTTTTTTATGCTTTTATTATATTTAACATTAGAGAACTGAGCATAAAGAGTGCCCCCTCCCATGAATGCACACCTAAAGTGTGCCCATATTATCATAAGACATAAGCATATTGAAAAAATAAATGAAGACCAACAATGAAAGCATTTTAGATTTGGGATTTCTAATTGTCACGAACAAACTTCCATCGTAGATATTTGTTTTGTATATCTTTTATTTGCTCAAATGTAATATACTGTTAGTGTGAGGGGGAGCCGGAAAAAAATCTTATATTCCCATCTCTACAAGATTTTACCGAGCACCTACCTACACTATAATAGAGCACACTTTATTTTCCTTTTCTTATTTGTCTCTGATTATAGTATTGCGTGTTTTAATAACTTTTATACAATGATGACAAAGTTCAAATGAAATTTACTTATCAAAGGTCACTTACCATTAACTGCAACAGAAAGATCCTCTTCACTTTTAGCTACAGCATTGCCACGCCCATCATAAGCCAGCCTCCTGCTCTTCACCATAAGTGGATACCCAAAGACGTCACCCGCTCTTTTAGCACTTTCAAAAGAATCTATCTGTTTCACCAAAGACAAAATTGAATAATTTATTCATTCTTTACTTCTTTCAATTTCAATGCATTCATCACTAAAAAACATAGGAAGTTTGTTGAATATTACCCATCCATCAAAATATGATTCATACTAACCTGCATAAAGTTAGAAAGTGGAATTGCATGCCTTGAAAAGTGGACCTTCTGAAGATACTTGTCCTGTTATGATGAAGTGCAATGGAGTACGAGTCAGAATGAAGCCACTAACCCCATACAAGTGCTGAACCCAAAAGTAAGTTCATTTATATATTTGAGCAAGCATGTGAATATAGATACAAAAGTGGGGTCATTCTTATCATAGTTCATGTTTATAATTATATCTAAAACCCTCCTAAGGAGAAGTTGTGGAATGGCTAGAGATGCTAGGCAATGACAGAATGTCAGAATTCACTCAAACAAAATAATTGAAAGAGTTATACATGATCCATAATTACGAACATCCTCTGTCTAGAAAAAAGAAAACCTGTATTATTCGGATTGTAGAAGCTTTAGGTTCACAATCCACACCTTGTTGCTCCAGTTTCTCAATTGTGTCAGCATCAACATGCTCAATCTCGATAGTTAACACATCACACCTTAGTTGAAATATGAACTCATTAAGTAAGAAAGAGTGAGTTTTTTTAAGTAAGGAAAAGTAAGTTAAACATGCAAAAATAAAATCAAACCATGTGAACCAAACCTTTTCCCAAATTCTTCAACGGTGCCGCTATCATTGTAGCTTCCCACTACATGATGATGAGCCAATGAACTTGCAGGACAATTCTCCATTGGGTCCAAGATAATAACTTTGATAGCCATCTGTGAAGCTGCTTGGCACAACATACGACCAAGTTGTCCTCCTCCTAAAACACCAACAACAATTTCAGATAGTCCATTAACCGGCGAACTGCCATTGGTCCTGCATTAATGATAAAATTATAAGAAACGTTTAATAAAACCATAAAAGCCTCTCACTCTAAAGAAATTCATGCATCAAAAGTTATAATTTAATAGTTCAAGATACACATTGTTCCGCCTAAAAAAATACACATTGGTCTTGAAGGAGCAAATTTTAACACAGAAGGTTAGTCATTTAACGATCCCCTAAAAATGAAACTAGAATAATTACTATCAACAATTTGTCACCTAAACGGGATTAACCGAAGCCTAGATGAGACGAGATTAATAAAATTTTTAGAACATTGTTAGTAATTAGGGGTAAGGTTTGCGTACAAACACCCTCCCTCCCAGAGCATGCTTTTTAGAAACATGATTACCAAATGGTGAACAACACAAAGATTGTCAGCAATACAAGCCAAGCTAGGAAGCCTTTGTTGATTAATTCATCAAGTCATCACGTCTAATGTCCTCATTAATCCATCTTGAGACATCAAAAAGTAAAAAAATTCTAAGTTTCAAAAGGGAATCCGAAAAAAGAAAAAGGAGCAAGATTAGTTTTCCTTTTTTAAAACAGACACCAAATGAAACTGGAAATAGCCAGGTTACCTGTCGGGCTTTTCTTGAGCTCTTAAAGAAGCTTTGCAGGGCAAAACGGTGGCGCGGGATTGAAATTCTTTGGAGAACATCCTAGAAGAAGACAACAGATGCTTGTGGGAATGTTGGTTCTTGGAGATGAAAGCACCTCCTCCAAAGATGGCGCTTTTACCAGAAGCTGAGCTGTTTCTGTAATGGTAAATTGGAGTCTGAATTTCGCTTAGTCCCAACATTCCCAAATTCCCTTCCTAGGAATCCAAATTTGAAATCTGAAACAAAATGGTTTGGTGAAAAAAAAGAACTCAAATTAGGGTCATAATTGTTTCTAGAAAAATCAAAATACTCCGTATAAAAATTTGACTAGGCCAATGGAGACGGAGACGCTACTGCGATTGTAGACGGAGAGACGCCGCCGCTCGAGACTGAGCTGCCGTCGTTGCTGCAGGAGACTGAGCCGCCTCTGCTGCCGTTGCTGCTAGAGACTGATTCGCCGCCGCCACCGTCGTTTCTGTAGCCTGCTAGAGAGTGGTTCCGCATAGGCTATGTTTGGATTGGATGGTAAGGTAGACACATTCCCTCCAACTTATTTTTTCATCTTATTATTTATTTTTATTATAATCAAATTAGATCAAAAAAATTTTTTAATTATAATTACAATAGATAAGATGAAACCAGATCAGATCTTCAAAAAATCAGATCAGATCAGATGAACTGAACACAGCCGTAATAGGTTGAAAAATTGCCTAAGATCCAACAAGAATTTGTTTTAATTAGAAACAAATTTTTTAATTTTGGGGAGTTATAATATACTCCCTCCGTCCCTAAATAGATTACAATTTTTTTCTCTCTCCTCTCGATAACTTTTGTTTGTTTACGCGATTTGATTAATTATTTGATAAAATAAAATAATCTTGTCACATCTTGTTTTGTAAAACTTTTGACGTAGTTTTTTAATATGTAATTTTTATATCTTATTGTCTATTGATATATCGAATTTGTAAATAAAATGATTTCAAAAAGTAAAAAATTTTACTCCATAACCCGCAATTTGTAATCAAATTGGAGACGGAGGAAGTACTACTACTAATTACTGGTGTTAGGTACTCCTTGAGTGGGACCATAACGGTGTATTATTTAAATTTATTTTAAATTCTTATTAAACCACGTACATAGATGCACACATGACACATGCACTTCGTATCACTGATTATTTAACGTTTATAAGTTGAAACATTTTTTGTTCATGTAAATGTTTTGTCCATTTTCAAAAAAAAATAATAATTTAATTTCTCATTTAGTTAGTGAATCTTTCATAGAGTAATTTCTTATCTAAAAATATCTATATAAAACATATTGTACATTATTAGAAAATTTAACTAGAACTTTACATTGTATAAATAAAATATAATTATAAAATATTTAAAATTTGACTACTAATGAACTAATGCAAAACACAAGATTAAGAGTTTGTTCTAAGAGTTTTCTCCATTTTATTCTCATTACTTATTAATCATTCTTATTAAAATCTTATTGTAATCAGACCATATGAAAACTAGTTTTAAATATTATTATAATAAGATTAGATGAGATCATATCAAATCATGTAAGAAAATAAGCTCTAAACCTAGTATAGTACGGAGTATATTACTCGTTATATATTCTCTCCGTCCCAAATTAAGTAGCTTGTTTACTATTCAAAGAATCAAACTGTATTCACTTATTTTATTTTTGTTAGGAGAAATTTATCTAAAAAGAACTAAAACATTGTAATTTTCACAATGTAATATCATATGTTTTTATTTCTCAATGTAATATTGTTCAATATCCGCTGGTCATTGTGCAAGTAAATGCCTAATGCCACTGGACATTGTTCCCGCTTCTAAACATTATTCAAGTACTCTTTTGTGAATAAAAAAGTTTAGGTACTACATTGTTCAAGAAAGAATATACTATCTCCGTCTCTAAGTATTTGTTCAGTTTTGAATTTTGATTTTCATCAGTCATTTGTTAATATAAAATAATCGTATCACTACTAGTTTTGTAGATCTTTTGATGTAATTTTTATTTTTTAATTTTACATTATTTTTCATTTAAAATCATTTGAAAATAATTTTAATGGAACATCGTAAACTAAAACACACAATTTAATTAGGACTGAGCGAGTAAATGAAAAACATACATTTGACACATCAAGCCCAAGCATGTTACTTTGCGAGCGGCTTTCGTAGGCAAGCCGGGTACCCGCGCCCATGATACAAGAGTTTTATGACAATGCTCATCTCATTGGCTGAATATGTTGAAGAAAGCTCATTTTGCGAAAGACTATAATCTTGTTTGTTCTCTCTATTCATTAAGTCTATTTCATCATGTACCAGTTTAATTGAAGTGCAACATGAATCCAAAAAGCTACCAAAAAAGGAAAAAAGAATAAAGAAAAAAACTAAAGCTACCCTGAAGTAAGAGCAATATATACCTTATAACTCAAGATTTGATGTTGGCTACCCTTAACATTAGGGGATATCCGAGCCGAGCGCAAGTGTTCTTGACCCAAATTTTGTGAAAGGACTAACCTAAGTATCAAAAATCAAAGTAAATTCAGAAGACTATTCACAAACTTCAAATCCTTCACATTACCATTCTTTTCCTCCGGTTGGTGCTTTATGAACTCTAGAGAGCAAAGAGGGGAAGAGAGTCTTCAATTTTGTAGGCCCAGGTGGAACCAGCGTCTATTGCCACGTGGCATTTTCACAACGAGGTTATCTTTGGGATGACTGTTTAAGAGAGAGAGAGAGTACTGGGGATTTAAACCTTTGCCAAGTTAGAATCAGCCAGTGAAGAGTGGAGGTCTTCTCGGGATTGTGATCTCCTGCTTTGAAGTCGTTGTTGGCTTCTGTGTGGGGGGCAGAAAGAACCCATAGTGTCATTACTACCAAACTGCATTTGCCCAACCAAACAACCAGATGAACTACTATGTGATACGCCGCTAGATGATGTGTACAGTGAAGAAAGGCCTTCGCCCAGCTGCACCCCTTTGCCCCCGAAACCATATCCACTTCGCTGAGTAGACGCTATTGTTGGACTCAGTGGTAATTTCTCTCTCCCGTCCCCTGAAACACAAGAAATGGTTTGTGATTTTATGCCAAGGAGGATGGTTTAGGGAGAAATGAGTTATTTGAAAAGCAAAATGAGGACAGGAACATGCAAATATGCTTCTAAACAATTAACAGAAATTTCATTCCCAAAAACAATCCAAAGAAACACTCTGAACCCATTGGTGGTCTTTTGGAAACAGCCTATCTATTTCCAAGTAGTTGCGTACCCTCACCCCCTCCCCGGATCATAAGTTTGTGTGGGGTTTTACTGGGTTTGTTGTAGAAGCACTATAAACTCACTATTGCATCTTCACATTTGAAGCATGTTTGCCTCGAGTCTGACAGGGAAAAGGAGGAACATGTTGGCGAGTGTCTCTAATTAAAAACATGGTGACAGGAAGAACCACGTTCTACAGATTCTTCTCTATCTATGAAGGTAGAAGAGGGTGGTGGTTGTGGTTGTGGGGTTGGAGGTGTGGATTTTTTAAATTGGTGAAACTTTATTGGTGAAGATTAAAAATTGCAGCAATGAAAGAGGCAGAATATGTAACTATGACTTGTTGGACCTGCTATATTTGTTACAATATGTAACTGGGTTTCCGTTCAGCTATACCAATCAATGACCCAACAAGATTGCAACACGACTTTGGTTTAAATGACGTAAAAATTAGTCACAAAAACAAGTCCTGAAGCTCATGACAAAAGGTACCCATGTTTCCAATGTTGAAACCTTTAACTACCCCCCTGTGTTTCTTTAGCTTTTTACTTATCCATTTAAGAGTTGTAACTTCATCAAACAGGACTTTTTTTGTGTAGTAATAAAACTGACTTATCAACCTCATCAGCTGGATTTTTTACTGGGAATTTAACTAAAGTTTAGTGCATGGTGTACTCCACTGTTATATAGGATGACATAACCATAAAGCATAGTATATTCATAAATATCAATTGATAAGGACACTAATCAGAGGGTGGTAAGTAAGCAATTACCTGTATTGATAGGACTCCAACGCTGGAACCTGAAGGGATTAGGCATAATAGATGCAGTTGAGGCATTATTATGCCTGAAAAGGGGAAGATAGGGCTTCCCGAAGAACTTGGGAATCAAGTTTCCAATACATAACAACGCACAAAAAATAACAAACAAAGAAGCAACTAAACCAACCAATGGAAGAATCGTTTTAACCTTTGTCCGAAATAACTCATATCTCTGAGAATCGATCTTATTTGAGACTTCCTTTCCAGCTTCAAATAGAGCAACTCCAAGTGCCCATGTGGTTCTTCCAGAATCAATAATTATATTACCATCTCTAACATTTAACCCTTCTCGCAATAGAAATGCAATATACGGTGCCCTGAAACAATACTGTTCTATAAAAGGTTGGGGTGCAACACTCTTCTTTGCGCTATCCCAATTTTTCTTGCAAAATTTTTTCCCCTTCTGTAAAACAACATCTAAGGTTGCATCCGAAGTCAAATTGAAAAAACGGTACACCACAAAAAAACCAGACATTGCATAAAACTGTCCACTTGGATGTGGACGCCTCCCTTCAAAAGACCCCTCAGATGAATTGACAACAATATTTGCAATCGAGCTGCACTCATCCCATTTTGGAGCTCCAATGAGCTGAATGGAGACTCCGTGCTTTCCTCCTGGCGGAAAGAAAATAGGGAGGAAATAGAGAGAGAAATTAGAAGGAAATACAATTGGGGGGAAATTGAAATATAGATTTTAACTCAATAAATTTATACTCACTAGATGTTAACCTTCTCCCGCGTGTTTATTTATATAATTACAAATAAGCTTAAGAAACTTAGAGAAGCATAATTTTTTAAAAAAATGAACATTTGTGTGTCATTTACCTATGTAATTTCCTAAGGTAAAATCAAGTATAAAAAAATTACTTTCCTTGGCAGTTTCTTTCATTTCCCTATAAATTTCCAAGATCCTAACATACCTTTAGTAAACTCTTTTCTTGCACCACTAGGAGAATTCTCACTTCCGGGAGATGTAGAAACACAGCTGTAACAAACATATTTCTCCTTGTAACCAGACTGCAAACAAGGATGTTTGACCTCAACATTTCCACTAACCAAATCTGCATTGTTAACCTTAGGATACTTCTTCCTGAGAAGATAAGCCACAGACTTGTCAAAAGCATCATTAAGGCCATATCCCGGCAAGGAATATGCAGTGAGTTGGTAGTTGAGATGGCCGATTCTCAGATTTAACCTAGTTGATGCATAATTGTTGGAACTCTCCTCATTACTCTCAAAAGTAACCTGAAGTGATGATCCCCCCAGGTCAAGTGCACCAAATGTTTCCTTTTTGGGTTTAGTTGTCCCTAGTACACCGGCATTATAATTCAAAGCTATCCATCCAAAATAAGCTTCATCTTCCCCGCTGATGATTTTCACCCACTCTCTCTTGCACAAGAATGGTGAGCTTCTTAAAAGGGACCAAGAATTGTCAAGAATCCATTTAGAATCTGAATCAGGTAGCCTACGGACCCCAGCCGTGGCATAAAGAAATAAGGAAGTACTCTTGTGAGCATTTTTAGGGATTTGATTCTCTGCCCACTGAATTAGTGGCTTAATTGCCCTATTCAAGCCAGATATGTTGTGGACCAACTTGTCAAGGCCCGGTTCCGTTTCCATTCGGTTATAAGCCCTTCCACTGTGGGATTTTGACTTTATCTGGAAACCTTCCGGCATTGATTTCAATAAAATAGGTAGACCTTTATCATTATTGTGGTCAAATGACGCTTGGTATACATAAATACGGGTCCCGGTGCTGCCGCAATCAAGAACAACATAGAACCTCGATCCACCTTCTGACAACTTGAAGTAATAAGATATTGAAACACACAAAACAGAAGCAACCAGCAGAAAACAGAAAATCATACAAGATATCAGCAACTTCTTCTGTTTAGAATGGTTTCTTGGAGATCCCTTCTCCTTTGAAAAACTTGATACGGCATTTTCTCTGACAAAGAAGGTTGCTTGCTTTGATTTATTTGATAGTCTTTCCGTTTCGGGGTTCAGATGGTCATATTCTGCACTGTTCTGCTGATATGCAGAAAAATCTTGAAGGGAGGAGGTGGGTCGCAACTTGTTCTTCCGCCCTGCACTGGGAACTGATCCCGACAATGGTGGAATACCAGGTGATACATAGGGGGAAGTAGGGGTCTTTAGGGTCGAGAAACTAGCCACTAATGCAGTAAAAGATTTTGAAATTCCGCTGAGCACCATATTTGCAGAATAATATTCAAAATATGCAAATTGATGCTTTGTTGGAGAGGGCTGCTCCCTGTGTTTCACATGTATGATCAAATCTCTTCACAATATATACATTTGAATTTGTGGTGATGAAAGAGGCCTGCAAAAATCATCAAAGCTACTGTTAAATGACGTAGAAGTTATTAAAATGTTATTATACCAGCTAAATGGATAATCACTCATTACATTATAGGAAATTGTAACCATTAATTCTCATACACTCCTAATAGATGAATCATTCATTCCGGCATTGAGAAAATTCAGTATCAAACATTATATATACTATCAATGTACCTCCGGAACTAAAACTAAAAAAAACATGATTTGTACTGAATGGGGGTATCTAATCAATGAAGCGTTAGGAACACGTCAACCTGCGGAAAAATCACGCGGCGGCCACTGTGGAGTCTGGCTGACCGGGTACAAGGACAAAGGCCCGGGACACGGCCAGGACACGACGGAGCAAGGAGCAGCGTTCTGAGTGGAGTTTTTTTCAGGCAACGGCGGAATGAGCGGCGGACGTGGTAAGGGCGCCGCTCAGTTTGGAAGAATCCGGAAGAGGTGAATCCGGCGCCGGTTGAATACGCGGCGGATGATGCGAGAGGAGGAAAGCTTCACATTCCACCGACGGGGCACTCCGAAATTCAGATCTGGTTGGGAATTTGGGAGCTTTCCCGGCTAGGGTTCCTTTTTTGAGATTTTTTTAACCGCTATTTTTTATCATTTTCTAATATTAGTATCCTCATCCGTGTTCTATTTTGTTTGTTCTTGATTTTTTTTATACAGTAAATTGTTTCTCGTACCTAAATCCGGCAAAAAATGACCTAACCTGTTTTTGATCCGAGACCCGACCCAAAAATACTGGGTTTAGAACAAAAGTTTTGCTGACCGAACCCGAATTGACCCGCTAAAAATGGGTCAAACTCAACCGAACCAGACCCCGACCTGACCCACATGCTAATCTAAGCTTTTTTCAGAATCATACATTTTAATATGAAATATAATGTTATAAAAATAAGATTGTAATTATATTTCTTTGCTTACTACTCATTTTTTGTGTATAGATTTATACTATCATAACAAATTTTAATGATGTCGCATAATTATCTTACATTTTTTTAAAATTGCTACATATTTAATTTTTTTATTCGTAATATTGACACTAAGTCATAAAAATTACTTAAAATTTCAAAAAAAAATGAAACTCATAACTCGTTGGGTCAACCTGAATCTGATGACATTGGGTCATGAACATGTAGTTATCAACTCGAACCCAAATTCATCTGAACCCGAAGTAACCCGAACCCAAGGTGACCGAACCCGAACCCGACCTGACCGACCAATTTGTCAGGTCTACTCGTATCACTACTTTTTTTAATGATAAAAAACAAATGTTAAATTATCTGTCCTACAAAATTTTTTCTCCTTTCTATTTTCATTCGTCCCAAAATATCTTTTTCATTTCTATTAATTGGTCTCTTTTACCCTATTACTCCCTCCGTCCGGAAATTTTCTTCTCATTTAACTTTTTACGATCTCAAAAATTGTACTTTAACCACTAATATCTTTATTTATACATAGATATATTTTGTAAAAATTTGATATTTGAAAACTATATATCAAAAAGAATATATTCATATTAAAGTTACATCGTGATACAATGTATTTTTTTCATATATCGTAGTCAAAGTTTATAAACTTTGACCAAGAAAAGTCAAATGGGAAGAATATTTCCGAAAGGAGGGAGTAATTCTTAATTTACTTATCACATCATGCTTTTTCACTGTTAATCTATTCATCATTTTTTATTTTTACCTATCATCATCTACGTACAAGTTAGCGCCTTCGTTAGGAGTGATCTATGCGAGCACTCTATTTGTCCACAAGTTGCTAGAGCCTATTAACTTTGGGCCCGTTTAGAATTAACATTTGTATTATCATTATCATTTTTGTAAAAAATCTAAATGCTGTAAATTAGCTTTGAAAATGCTAATACTAAATGATACCCACAACCCATGGGCTATGGAGCTAGTGCAGAGCCACATTAAAGGAAACAGGGACACTTGCCCCAATGGATTTTTAAAGTTTTAATCACTATCCCAATTTAAAACAAAATATCAATTATGCCCCCAATAAAAATGGGATGTCTCCATTAATTGTTCTCAATTTTCATTTGCATAAAAAAAGAGTCAAATTGTTTAGAATTTTTATTTGAAAATCAGTTTTAGTAGTCTATTTTTCTATAATTTCTAAATTTTAAACCATTTACTGAGTTATAAATTATGTGTAATAATTCATAATATTGGGATGAACGTTAGGATTGTCTGTCATTTTATAATATTTTTCAAAAAAATCGAGGGGGTACCCAGAACACTGGCCAATTGTTAGCCCCGGCCTTCATATTTTCCAGATTTGATTTTCCCAAATGAGAGGTTAGAGGCTCAAACTTCAGTAAGAATGCTTGCTCTTTTTTTCTTTTTTATGTTAAAAAGGTATATATACACTTGTATATTTTGTGATTATTTTATTTGAGAGCTTGCTAAAAAAACAAAAGATAATAAAATACCAAAGTAAAAGGATCAATATTTTTGCGACTTAAATAGGACTTAACGCTGCTAGTATCCACAACCATGCCCCACAACCATCGAAACTCCCTTGTCGGTCTCCGTATTTGACCACTATTGACCGGTGATCTACCACCACACTCTACTATCAGAGTGCTACTATTCAATTTGTTATATTATAATTATATTACTAAATGTATATTTATAAGATAAAAATAATGACAATCTTGTTTTATTTTTTAATGTCATTTTATTCATGTTTAGATGCATTTCTTTTGTCGGACCATGCTAGGGATACATCAAAATAGAGTACTCTATTTGTATACCAAGAAAATATAGATACTAAATGTCTATAATCACAAAAATTTAGTGTGTGTATATTTGTCTAGTGTAGAAATGATGTACTCCGTAATTCATTTTGATGTATTCCTAACTTTGTTCTTTTGTCTTAATTATGACTATACTATATTTGAACCACGTACCACGTATCTCTCTTTCGTATCCCAATTACCAAGTCAACTTATTTTAATATTATCCACTTCTCCCTCGTAAACCAACAACTTTTCCCAGGTAAAAAAATGCCAACGCAAAGGAACGAGCCCAAGAAAACCCATCCAAAACCATATCTTCGCTTGTTTTCCTCTTCACAGTCAAAAACCCCACAAAACTCTCTCCGCCTTCTACGCGCAACGCGCCTCCTCTTCTCCTTCTTCTTCTTCTTCTTCTTCTCTCTTTGTGTTCTCTACGCGGTTTCACCATGACCCCCACCCCCACCCTTCTTGGAGGTTACGTTGGTTTACTTGATAATAATTAATTAGGTCTGTATAGCTCAAAGATTTGATTTTTTTAATCCACTTTTTTTTTCCTTCACTCCGGAGCTCATTTTTAAATCTGGGTATTCTTCGGTTGGTATCGAGAAGTTGATTTTTTATTTTTCAACTGAGTCTACTCGGTGACTCGTTCGTGTTGATGTGAATTGTACTATAGAGATAGATAGATCTGTGGAAAAGGAAATCTGGGTCTGGTTTTCTATGCTGAGGAAATGAATGGGTTCTTCAGATTTGTGGTTTTTATTCTGGTTTATCAGAATTTGACTTCTTGCTGTCCTCTCAGGAATGAAGGTATGCTCTTATAGAACAGTGGTTAAGCTTAAATTTTGATTTTAGTTATTTTCTGTGTGTTCAATAATATGTTCAAGTTTGTGTTAATATGTGTTCAAGTTTAGCTTAGCAGTGGTTAATACATGCAGGTTTGGGTGTGTTGAGACTTAAAAAGAAAGGGATTGCTGATAGATTTGAAGCTTGGAAGAGCAGGAAACATGGAATGGGAAATTCATATTCAAGAGGAAATTTTGTGTTTCTGTAAGTGTTACTTTGTCCTTTCACATTTAACGGATCGTTATGATTTTTATGATACATCAAATATTAAATGAATGTGAATATGATGTGTGTCCATTATGACTTTTTTTATGATACATCAAAATACAAAATGAATGCGGACATAATGTATGTCCATATTCATTCGCCATATTTTGATGTATCACAAAAGTCATAATGTTTAGTTATAAGCCTATAAGTACTCCTATTATCCCCATAGGTGAAATATTTAATACTTACAAAATTCATATTATTCATATAAAGTTTGATCGATTTGCTAGCTATCCAGAGACCTAACAGTCTCAACTCTCAATGACTTCTGCTAACAATGGAGCTTTCATATTACTTTTCTAAGACTACACATATTTGTGTTTTCTTAAGGAATCAGCTCAACCAAAAGTTCACTTGAGTCTAGCCTTGCACGTGAACATTAGTTTTTTTAAAAAATTGGGTGGTAGTGAGGTTCGAACTCATGACCAGTTGACCACTAGGTCAACAAGGTTATGATATAATGTTAAGGAACAAACTCGACCGAATTCTCAAGCTTTTGTTTGGAGACCTGGAAAAGGAGTTTATATCTAACAGTTTTTATGCTCATGCTTGTAGGAAAATGACAGAGTTCAGCAGAGTAGCTCTAAGGGAATTGCACAACATTAAATTTTTTCCATATCCACCCAAACGAGGTGCTACTACACTAGCACAATCCCCATCTCCTTCTCCGTCCCCATCACCGAGTCCCCATGGACCAGGTCTTGCACCACCATCAAGCTCTGCGGTGCCAGAAGTTGCCCGACCCGGGCCCACACCTATTCCATCTGTTGCACCATCTTTCATTCCTTCCCCTCAAGGCAACTTTATAAATTCATCACTTAGAAATAAAAGCAAGAACCACAACAAAATCTTGATAGTGGCTGCAACGGTTGGGGGTTCTGCTTTGCTTGTGCTTTCTGCAATTTGTGTAGTTTTATATCAACACAATAAGACGGCTGTTGTAAAACCTTGGGCGACTGGAATCAGTGGCCCCCTGCAGAAAGCTTTTGTTACGGGTATGTTTCTATTTGCATCCTCTTCATAGGCGGAGTATAATATTACGATCTAAATTTTTCCATAGTAATATTTGAGACTCTTTAAAATTGAAGGATTGACATAATAGGTGATAGGCATTCATTTCGGTACGGAGCGAGTGTTTGTTTGTAGAAACATACATTCCATGAAAAATGTTTTCAGGCATTCCTAAGTTTTGTACAATGAAACATTTTCACAGAAAGAGTGTCTATCTTCTTAGGAATTTTTTTATACAAACAATTGTCTTGAAAGCAAACGGAACCTTATTCTCTCACTCTCTTGTTTTGATCAGGTGTGCAGAAGCTTAAGAGATTAGAACTCGAGACAGCTTGCGAAGATTTTAGCAACGTGATTGGCTCTTCATCGGTTCATACATTGTACAAGGGAACATTATCTAGTGGAGTTGAAATAGCTGTTTTATCACTTGCCGTGGCATCTGCTAAGGATTGGTCTATAGATCAAGAATCCCAATTCAGACAAAAGGTACCCTTTTTTCCCTAGCATTTTTCGCAATATAAACTTACCCTACGGGTACTTGGTTTTTTTTATATATTTTTTTTTGTGGATTCAGATTGATACACTATCAAAAGTAAACCACAAGAACTTTGTGAATCTCATTGGGTATTGCGAGGAAGAAGAACCATTCACGAGAATGATGGTGTTTGAGTATGCGCCAAATGGGACACTTTTCGAACACTTGCACAGTATGTTTTTTAAATTCTCTAATCCCTTTCTCTTAGGGATTGTTACTACTATTATCGGTTTCATATCCATAACTGAAATATCGCAACTTCTTGGCTTTGTATCTTTTCATTTCCATTCGCATGGGAATAATTTGCCACGGGAGTTCTTTTGATATCCATCCTCAGTGTCATGATATGACACTGGGTCCATTTGAGAGACCTATGGTATTTCTCCTTCAACCCCAAAGTTGGCCCTACTCCACAAAGGGATCACACTTTGGGTTCAATGAGAGTGTGCACCGTAGGGCCCACAAGCTCATTTAAAAGACGTATTTGATATTTTACCGAAGCCCCACTTGTGGGACCATACTGGGCTGTTGTTGATCTTCTTATATGTGACCACAGTTAGGGAAGCTGAGCACTTGGATTGGGCGACCCGAATGAGAATCATGATGGGCATGGCGTATTGTCTTGAACACCTTCACCAATTGACCCCACCACCGCGCTTCTTGAAAACCCTAAGTTCCTCGTCCGTGCACCTATCCGAGGACTATGCAGCCAAGATATCCGATTTCATCTTCGGGCACGTGGATACGGACGAGTCGTCAAACGGGCCGAACAATGTGTACGGTTTCGGGGTCATCCTGTTCGAGATGGTCACGGGTCGGTTGCCCTACTCGGACAACGCGAGTGCCCTTGAAGACTGGGCCTCGAGCTACCTTAGGGGAGGTGGGGGGCCACTATCCCTCCGGGAAATGGTTGACCCGGCTTTGACTTCTTTTCGGGAGGACCAAATGGAGGGAATCGGGGACGTGATTCAGTCGTGTGTCGATCCTCGGCCGGAGCGGCGGCCGAGTGTGGGAGAGGTTTGTGGGAGATTGAGGGAGATAAGTGGGATAGGGCCTAATGGGGCATCCCCTAAAGTGTCTCCACTTTGGTGGGCAGAACTGGAGATTATATCTACTGATGAGGCACCTTAAGGGACAGTTGCCTTTGGGAGTTTGGGGTGGTACAGTATATGTTAGTCATCTGCCAGTTCTTAGTAGTAAATATAGTTTGTACTCCGTAAATACCAAAATGAGAAAGAAAGATGATTCTTGTGTGTGAATATAATGTTGTGATAAATACAAAAAGAATTTAATTTGTTATTTTTTCCGAGTAGAATAAACTAGGTGTTGACATAGTTTCGTTTTTTCAGTGTTATTCACACTAGTATAGGGCAGTATTTATTTATATTATTATCAACCTAATGACGCATAAAGTTGTATTTATATTCGCATATCATATGTATGGTATTGTAAAGAGAAAAGTATCATAGAATAACTACATTTTGGTCTTATCGGTCCAATCCAAAAATTACCCAATCTTAGATTGGAGTAAATCAAGATTTTACGGTTAATCTTTAGACCGGAATCCAGTCTCGAATTTTATAGGTCTTGGAACCGGTTTTTTTTGTTTGGTCCTATCCGACTTACTATCCATCAATGAGGGATGGAAAGACTATTTCCATTAGATCCTCTGCTCAAAAGAAATATAGAGAAATATAGTGAAGGTAAATGTGGTAGTAACATGAGGAGAAAATTAAGCAAGACATTACAAATAAGAGAATTCATTAAATATTTATATCTTGTGCATGAATTTATGAAATTAGTCAAATCATTTGTATAATATCTCTTTTATACATAAGGTCTCAAACATCCAATTCTACATTCTTTCAATTTCATATTACCTTTGTCCTGGAAAAATTTTTCTGTGTTAACTTTTTTGGTCAAACAATAACATTCTTTGACTACAAATTGAGAAAAAAATATTTAATTTTTAATGTAAAATTAGATTTATAACATTTATTTATTCAAAATATACTTAATTTATGGTCAAATAGTGACAAAGTTTAACTAAAAAATGTCAAAACAGGAAAAATTTTCAAGAACAGAGGCAATAAAAGTCAATGCATCTACGTCACCTACAAACTTGATCACCACAAAAAAATTGCTTCTTAGTACTCCCTAATTTTTTACGTCTTAAAGTAGGGAGTAATATTTCCAAGCATACAAATGTAAATTTTTATTACCGTTCTAGTACACTGCTATAAAGTTTTATCAATGTCTGCTTGAACTCTTGAATATAAATACTTTTATACTTTAAGCATCAGTTCAAAGACATCATGAGCCGCATAACATCCTTATTACAGTAGAAATCTAAACAAAGGCACTCAAATAAACATAGGAAACTGCCAAGTGAAACTAACCATTTCAATCAGCCTGGCCTCTCTCTTTTTCCCCACGATCGTTGCAAACAAACAGGTCCCACCCAAGCCTGCAGAAATGCCCATCACTGCAGTGGTTGAAGGCAAGCCATTCACCGGGGCGAAGCCCATTGCGGGAGCTAAAGTTAGCATTATCTGAAATTGCAAGGAAGGACCGAGTTCCTATAACGCATTTGAAACATATGGAAATGGCTAACTTCTGTGAAAGTGGTCAAAGGGTTCAAGTGTGGTGTTTACTTTGGCAGAGAAAGAAATAAATTGCATGCAGTAGAATACATAAAGAAAGGAACAATGTAGCACTTACCGGCCTCTTAGAAATCCAAAGGCATAGAAAACATTTTATTGATTTCATCCATTGCCTCCTTAGTGCAGATTGTTTTCTCATACAGTTCATTTTCATGCTTCACGGACAAACTTCGTTGGCACTTTTCTTGACAATGACTTATCTCATCATCGTCATCGTCGTCATCATCAGGAAGTATCAGAAACCCACCACCGTCTCCCTCCATTTTAGCTGCTAAAAATGGATCCTTTGGATGGTCATTATCTATTAAAGGTGAACTTAGCTTAGACTTATTATCTTCTTGGCAATGGTCTATCTCATCATCGTCGCAGAGTATCATAAACCCACCATTGCCTCCCTCATTTTTATTATTTGGTATATTCTGTTTCTTTGGTCGGCTTTTTCTTGTAAACTCAATTGGCTTTCCAAACATGTTGTTTATATCGGCCATTGCCTCCTTCAAGTTAATGGTGGGATCTACTAGGCCGTGGTGGCAAGCATTCTCTACCTCCAAGTCGTCTGAAATGGTGGAACCCACAAACCGAAAAACAACTGTGTCCTCCCTGCGTGGTCTTTCTTGAAGTGGACTCTCAGTATTATGATCTTTCAATGGTTCTGAAACAACATCACAAGGAACTGGAAAAACAAAACCTCTATCATCCTCATCCCCATCATCATCATCACCATATATTTGAAATGACTCTTGGGGAGGTTGACAAGTTCCAAATCTATCAGCTTTTGAACCGTCAATTGTTTTCTCATCAACATATACCTCAAATTCATTGTTGGGGACCAACCCAACTTTTGGTAGGCTTCGAGAAGATCTATTTCCAGTACATGATTCCTCTAGTGGCTCACAGAACATGCTATTAATAGCATTCATAGCCTCTTTGGTGTTGATTGTGGGTTCCACAAGACCATGATGCCTAGCATCTTCAACATCAGACTTCCCAACCAAAGCATTTCCTACGAATTTAACTACAACTGTATCATCCCCAGTGATTTTTCTGTTCTTATTGGGTTCTTCACTCTCTTTGACATATACATTCCTACTGAAACCATCCATGGCTCCATTGTCCACGTATCTCCCGGCAAGATTCAGTCTTGGGTTTTGATAATTATTATTTTCCTTCCCTTGCAGCTGTACAGGACCCTTGGTCACTACAACCTTAGGATTTTTTTCAGTTGTGTGAAAGTTCTCACTTTTGTCCTTAGAACCTTTATCATTCAGGGGAACACTGATAGTTGAAGGCAGTCTGTTCCTACTTTTTCGTTCATGGCACTGCAAGAGATATGACATGGTTATAATTTACTTTCAGTGTCTAATTGGAAGGAGGGTTTTGAGGGCTTCGTCTATATGTTGATAATAGAATATTTCTAAAAGCGAAAAGAGGTGGTTGGAAGGTTATACAATTACATACAATAATGTCTTTCAATCTTTATAAGATCTCGAAGATACATCAATATATAGACCAAGTCCTCCAAAACTGTAGATCAAAACAGACCCTTGTGATGTAAAAAGAGCTTAATACAACATATCATTAATATGGAGAACCTTAATTCTCTTGTTTTTATGCTTCTGTAGACGAATCATGAATTGATCATATGATTTCTGCAAGTCATCCAGAGGCTCTGCAAGGCTGCTTATAGAAAAGTGATATAAAGTATATAACTACATTTTAATGATAATTAAACCAGTCATGCAAGACAATTACTAGGTTTGATGTGAGAATCAGTGGATCATGGCACACTATCTTCATACAATGAGGTCTTCATAAAACCATTTTGTACCAACAACAAGCATTATGGTGTTTGTGTCATGATTCTTGCAACAGCAAAAATACACTCAAAGAACAAAAACAGCAAAACCAATACAATTTAGTCTGCTCAAAAACAAAAAAAACAAACATTCTTACTTTTGCACACCTAGATGGTAGACCTTCTCGGCAGCTTCATAGTTTTTCCTTTTCTCATAGCAAAGAGCATATGCTTGGTAAAATAGGGCGTTCTTCACCCCAATATGGTTATTTTCCATGTTTCTTAGCACTGCTTTTGGATCATCCACATAATCTAGCTAAGAAAATACAAAACAATTTGATTTAGAAAACATCTTCCACTACTATTCATATGAATTCCAACCCTAATAGTTACTATTTCAGAATCAAATGTCAAATACTCCCGGGCATTATCAATCAATCCTATTTTTTGTTGTCCGAATTAAGACTCACAAACTACAACATCAACAACAATTACAATAACAATAACAAACCCCAAGTAACTGGGAAAATCAGAGGCACTGAGTCATTTACCAGTTGTAACCAAACCCGGAGGTACCGCAAATCATTGGAATATCTCCTATCAGTCTCAAAAGTCTGCGCACATTTCTGCAGAAATCTAGGGAGCTTGGCCGTAAGGACATGAGGAGGAAGAGACTCCTTCATCTTCCTAATCCCTCTGTGGCAAACATAATTCGAGATCGTAAATGGCATATTACTTATCATTACTACTAAATCGATATGGGCTTGAAAGATAAGAGCACACGGTGAAACGGAGCTTCTTTACCTCAGCCACGGAAGAAGAGGATCGTTTCCGGCGTAGGACTTGATGTCGGAGATGACTGAAGAGAAGAGGTGGTTGTACAGAGTGTCGCCGGTCGCCATTGATGCTCCGCCGGGGATAGCCGTGATGGTGGAGGATCGCGGTGTGGAAAGCTCGGAGTGAATTTTGAATTTTGAAAGAGTGCTTCAAACTTCAAAAAAAAAAGGCTCCAGTACTCCGTATTTGGCAATTTATACATCTTTCTTTCCACAAAACACTTCCTCTTTCTATTAAAAAACCACTTTTACTCTTACTTTTTCATACCCTACCTATCACATCATACTTTTTTACTAATAACCAAACTATCACATCTTACTTTTCTCCATCACATCATGGGCAAAATTGGAAAGTCAACCAAAATTACATTTTCCTTATTTTTTCCCCAAAGTCAAAACCGGAAGGGTTTTGTGGAACGAAGGGAGTATTATACAACCAGTTGTACGGAAAGAATCGTACAACTGGCATTTAATTGAGGCAAAATGAAGAAGTGCGGCAAGGCACATCCATTGGCGATGAAGGAGGTTGTGCGATGGAGGCTGGTTGGATTCCCAATGGGTGATTTGACGATGAAGGTCTAATGGAGGTTGTTTGGAAGTTCGATTAGTAATTGGACGATGAAAGTCTCATACGCGATCTGAAGGTAGCTTGGATATGCGAAGATTTGGTCAAATTGACTCCGGTGGATGCAACTAGAAATTCCGCTTCCCGTTGCTCCGGCGATGGTCTTCTACTTCTAGCTGGAGATCTTGTCTTCCGCGTAACAGATTTCAACTTGGACATATGAATGGTATGTTGTTTAATAATGAGTACTAGGTTATATGGTAATGAGTACTCTTGGGTTTTAGAATGAATATTACGTTATTCGTAATTGAATATTGAACAAATATGTGAAAATAAGTATAACATTATTTCAGAATGAGTAATTGAGTACTACGTTATTTCAGAATGAGTACCACGTTTTTTCAAATAAATAATTGTGCTTGTGCAAGAATGAGTACTTCTTTACTTTAGAATGAGTACTACACGGATGTACCTATCTCTAGGTACATCCCGACGTACCATATACACTCTCCTCGTATTTTTACATGGCCATCTATGGATTTCATGCCTAAATTTTTACACCAAGGTCAATTTTACCGTATTTTGATGGTTCATACTAAATCATACTACAACAAAGTTTTATTGTTGTCTAAAATTTTATACTATCATTTTATATCAGTGTAAGTAATGGGTGTTTAAACGGATCGATCCGATCCGACTCGCAAAAATTTGTTTTGTTTTACGTAATATGACAAACATTTTGGACGGCAGAATTTTTTTATTATTAAATACTCCGTAGTTAGAAAATGCAAAAAATAAATGTTATTGAGAAGGAGGGAGTACTTTCCTAAATTTGAACTACTCTTATCATTTCAGCAATAGTTATTAGAGCAACTTCAAAGGGAAAAGGTAAATTGAGAAAGTATTTTGTTTATTTACCTTCTCAAAAAGGTAGATATACCTATTTAAAAAGTTCTTGATTCCAATAGAAGAAGGTAAATGGAGAAGAAAGATATATGTTTCTTAAAATAAAGGTATTTTAAAGAAAGAGAAGAAATTGGTATACCTCTCCAAAATTTGAGGAGGTAAATATACCTTTCCAAAATTAAGGAAGGTATATTAACTTCTCATTTCCCTTCCCTATTGGGGGATAAACTTACGTGAAGAAAAGGTAAATTTGACAATTATTGTTCTTTACCCTTTGATTTACCTCCTCCATTGGATCATTGGAGTTGCTCTTAGTTACAGAATACTGTGTACTCCGTTTTCCGTATTCTCCGGCAAGGACCAAACCCAATAGCCCTATGGCGGAAGAAACCGGAAAGGAGCGTTCCTCCAGCGGCGCTGGCGGCGGCACCGAAGCCGAGGAGAAGGAGTACGATGGAATCGAAGAAGTAGAGGAAGACGAAGACGATGGAGGGGAATTTGAACCGGCGAGCGAAGAATCTCGGATGCGGACCGATAAGGCGATGGTGGAGAGCTTCTTCCGACGAATGTCGTCGGAGTATGTACCGGTGCGAGTCCACGACGTGTTGATTAAAGGAAACACTAAGACTAAGGAAGCCCTAATTGAGGCCGAGGTTGAATTCGTCAAGTCTGCTACTACGCTCCAGGAGTTGATCCAGGCATCCGGTTCCGCCTCTGCGAGACTTCAACAGCTAGAGATTTTCGATGCCATCAATGTCACTCTTGCTCCTGGGCCTCCGGAGCTTCCCGGGACTGCCAATGTGATTGTTGAAGTCAGTGAAACCAAAAACCCTATTGCCGGAAACATCGGGGCGTTCTCCAAGCCCGGGGTAATACGCTATATGCATTTCCTTTTTTCAATTTATGTGAATTGATGCCTTGTTAACTTTATTTGATTGGAATGATACGGCAGCCCTGGACAAAATCTAGTTTATGCATCTTTGATAGTAAACATTAGGATTTTGAATATTGTCTGCAAACATTTCCTATGGTTCTAAAGAAAAATGCACAGAGGATTCAAGGGCGTATTTGAAATTGAAAGCAGTATGGCCATTCCTTTAGGTTCTATTGACTATGCCGTGACTTGTGAGCTATTCAACTTGCATTCTAAGTTTGAGCTCACTCGTCAGAATATGAAATTTCAAAGAGATCAGAACAACAACAATTGAAGTTGGATATATGAAGACTCTTAACCCTCCAGAAGTAACCAAGTCGTAGGAAAAACAATCATAGTCCCTTCGTGTTAATTTCTTTTTTACTGATGCTGGACTAAATTATGTAGGTCTTCCATGATTTTTTTCCAAAAGATATCTGCAATATTGTTGCACCAGGTTTTTTAATATTCTACTTCATTAATCATTATGTTCAATTTCTTATTATTGCTAGTTGTCTGGGAGCTAGGGGTCAGTTTCACAACCACCCTCCGCACTCAATCTAGAACATTTTTTCTGGTTGTTTTGAGGGTCAAGTGGTCAACAACCATCTGTATTTTGTATCTCCAATATCTCAAATTGCTTTGAATACTTTATGTATATGTTTACAACATTCATCGACCATGGCCTTTTTTGGATTACATAAATTATATGTAATCAGTTTGCATTAGCAGGTAGTAACTAGTAGTTAGCAGTTTCCGGAAGATGTTTGGTAACTTAGCATATTCTTACAACTTACTAGGAGTTAGCAATTTAATGTGTAAAGTGACGAAGTGCTGAGCAATATTTCTTTTTCCAAAAAGTTCTCTCTAAAATACTTGTAGGATCAACATATTCAAAAAGAGCAATTTGACATCAACATGCTCTATAATGTTATCTACTAAGGTCTGTTCTTTTTGGTTGAAATTTTAAAATTGGATGTTGGAAAAAATTGGAAGGAGTTGGAAGAAACAAAAAGTTGAAAAACACTAGAAAGAGTTAGAAAATGTTGGAAAGAATAGATTGTTTAAAAAAACAGTCAGTTAAATGATCACCCAAATCAATATTTTAAAAAAACTAATTTTGGATAAAAAAGAATTCATCTTTGTCCGTGTTTGAGGTGTTATGTTAAAAATTTAGATATATGATGTTATTCTATATTCATCATATGTAATTAGTTTTTTTAAGTTGAAAAAAACTAGAAGGAGTTGGAAGAAACTGGAAGGAGTTATAGAAACTAGAAGTTAACAATTTCTCACCCAAAAGAATAGGCCCTAAATACAGAGATAAAGCTAGGGGTAACTCTTGGGGTTCTTGCCACCCTCCCCCAAACAATTTTAAATTAACGTCTTAGGTTTGTCTGTTAATGTGTGTATCTTTTGGACACAGTGGTTTTGTATTTTACACACACACACACACACACACACAATTTGGACCTGTCTATAACATTGAGTGCTAAATTAATTATTACTTGTATTATAAAATGTTAAATAGATTAGTCCAACTTTTGAGTTGTTATGTACCTTAAATTTCAGCCCCACCCCCACTCCCCTCCGTGAGTATTTTGTTACTGTCTCCATCTCAAACCAAACACCACAGTTAGCATATCTAACCAGTCAAACATGATCTTTTCCAAAATGCTAGAAATGAGCATATTTGTAAACAAGGCCCATATCTGCATGTTATGTTTTTTTTGATTTCCTTCATGGTGACACATTTATGTATTACTGAATTTATTGTCAAGCTATGCTGGAAAACCGCATTTCCTTGTAATGTAATTTAACTCTATATTTTGTTTTTTTGTAGTCTAGAAGCTGGTCACTTGAAGGCTCATTAAAATTGAAAAACCTATTTGGCTATGGGGATTTATGGGATGGTTCTTTGGCTTATGGTTGGGACCAATCATCGGAGATCAGTGCCGGTGTGTATTTACCTAGGTTCAAAAGGTTAATCACTCCCATTACAGCCAGAGCATTTCTACTGTCTCAAGATTGGTTGAAGTTTTCTTCTTACAAGGAGCGATCATTAGGCCTTTCACTTGGCCTATTATCATCAAAAAACCATGAGTTAGCGTACAATGTATCTTTGCGAACTCTGACAGACCCCTCACAAATGGCCTCTAAGACTGTTAGGAGGCAGCTTGGACATGGTTTGCTCTCAGTCCTGAAGTATACATTTAGAGTTGACAGGAGGAATTCACATCTAAGACCAACCCAAGGATATGCATTTGTTTCTACATCACAGATTGCTGGCCTTGTACCAGATTATCGTAGTATACGCTTTCTCCGTCAGGTTAAGTGTGTTTTCCAGTTTATGTCATTAGTATGCAGTGCATCTTTTTCTTTTCATTTAAAGCACAATGGTTCCATACTTCCAGCCTTATTTAGCTTATTTTAATTTTTCTATGTTCATAGTTTATCATATTTGTTGTAAGCAATCTCATGATTTCTTACCTTTTAGACATTCACTTTTGACTATGAACTATGGTTTCAATTACTCACCATGTCCTAAACAGAGTTTTATTTCAAAATCTGTTTTTTGTCCACAAACATGTCATGTTTTAGAAAAAGAAACCAGCTCCTTATAAGTTATGCCAAAATATGGTTGTAAACAAGCTAAATTCTCTCCATGTCCCAAATTGGTGTCCTATTTGAAGAATGCACACATATTGAGGAAACTTAGAAAATGACTCTTCTATCCCTATAAAAGAAAGTGAAATATTAAATGTTTTTATCTCTCCTCATGGTTTAGTGGGATTCAACTGGGTTGTTGTTGTTGTATCCCTCCTCATGGTACCAAAGTGCAATATAGGAAGAGTTGTGAATTAATGGGGGAAATTCAGATCAGGAAAA